TTAGGGAAGGGTCTATAGGGTGTTGAGGATCTTACTACTAGATCAGACTTGTAATGATCTGCCTGTTTACAGCCTCCCAAGAGCTGGGATTACAGGCATGTGCCACCACACATGCTATCAATGTTTCAATTGCTATCTCAGCATGCCCTGGGGGCGGGGCTGGCACGGCAGGCCGGGGGATTGAACCCCTGACCCCTGGCCCTGCTTGCAGGCACTTTAATCCACTGAGCTATTTGGCTGGTCCTATATTACAAAAAAAATGTAATTCCCTAAATTACATTTTAATTAAAAGTGTAATTCCCTAAATTACACTTTTAATTAAAATATTATGGCTGACAAGATAGCTCAGTGGTCTAAAGCACCTGCTTAGGCAAGCTTAGGCAGGCACAGGGGGATGCAGTTCAATTCCTGGCACCACATGCCATGCCAGCTCCACCCTCAGGAAAGGCTGAGACGGCCAAAAATTAAAATTAAAATTAATTCAAATATTATTAACATTTTTCCCTGTTTTCCTCACCCATTCTTTAAGAAACAAAGTACCACAAACTTTTAAGCTCCGTTTATGCTGCTTGAGTCCCTTTCACGCCCCGGTTTTAGTGCTTTTTCCAGTATTATGAAGAAGAAACTGAATTGTCTGGGAGTAGCTCAGTGGTAAAGTGCTTGCCTAGCATGTGCGAGGGCCTGGTATCCATCCTCAGCCCAGCGCTGAAAAAGGCAAAGAAAGAAAAAAGAAGAAAATAACATATCCAGGGAGGTCTGGCTTGATACATAATCTTCACTTTAGTTTTGCTTTTTAAGGTATGTTGGTTCTAAAACCAGGCAGAAGTTAGCACAGACATAGCTGGCCGCTATATATCTGTCCATACTCACTTGGGAAAGATGGTTGTAGCACAGTTTTAGACGTGCGACCTTGTTCATCAGTGTTAGTCTGACTTAGAATGCCTGTTGTGGGATGTGACATTTGTGGGGTTGGAATGCCCTCTTTACCAGATAGAAGGACAGCTTTGCTGTCTAGTGACAGAGCCTGGAAATTGCTACCAGATCCTTAGTCCTGAGAACCAGGACTCCTGGCTCCTAAGGCCGCCTTCACCCTGGCTTCTAGTTCCTTTTGGGCATTGTAGGTAGTGACCTAACCCTTCTGTGCCTCACAGAGCCAGACAAGTAGGCTCTCACCCTGCTTGGGTATGGCACATAGTCAGCAGGCATCATGCCTCGGGCCCTTCATTCTTCTCTGGAGCCCCCTCTGAAAGGACCTCAGAGTTCTGGCAGTGAACAAGGAGCAGGCACAGCAGCAAGGCGAGAGAGGGGAACCTTTTGCACCTTTCAGGTTCATGCCAGGCAGAAACCAGAAAGTTTATAGCCCCAGCCTCTCTTCACCTATCCCTGTGTTTGGCACATTGTTCTAGTAAGTCCAGATTGCCTTCTAGTATCATTGTGGAAATAAAAACCTAGGACAAATATTTATTTTCACCTTCTTTCTCTCTTATAGGATCCAAGCAAAACTCCCAGGAATTGCAAAAAAAAAGGCCGAATAAGCACATGGAAATCAGAAATGCAACAGTTACTAAAACATCATTTAATAGTTATAATGTTGTTATTTGTACCATGAAGGAACATGGTCAGTGTCAGCTTGAGCCTGCATTCCAAGCTTTTTTTAAAAAAATTGGTGTTTTCTTCCCTCCTTTCTCTTTACCCCCCAGTATCAAGCACAAGAAATGTTAGATTGAAAAAAAGAGCTGATACTTTAGAGCCCAAAAGAATAAAGTAAGAAATTAGTAGACTAAATATACCTTAATGGTGATGGAGCTTTTACATAGAATGAAAGAGGAGAACAAAGGTGAGAACATGAATGATGGAATACATCTTTCAGGTCCTTCTATCCAGTTTTCAAGGACTAGTCTTACGCAGCGCCATTGTAGTTTCACCTTTATTTTTAAGTTAAGGAATAATTAACTAATGAAACTATTTGAGGACAGAAATGGGATTCCTTCCCTTGGATTTAAAGGGGCCCTCCCATCTTCCTGCCTCACACCACTCCTAATATTCTTCTTATAAGGATCACTTCAAACTCTGAGTACCTTGTAGGTGATGGTAGTAACTCCTTTTTCCCAGAATGCCCTCTGTGAAGGGTGGAAAAAGAAACTGGGATAGGTGCAAGGAGGGAGTTGGCAGGGCTAGGTGCAGGTACAGGTGGGCTGCCCAGCCTGCTGCTCATCTTTAGGGCTAGAGGGCTCTGCTGGCTGGGAGAGGGGCGTCCCTGTCATCCGTTTCTCTTGGATGCTGGTACTGAGCATTCATGGGAGAATGTACTCTCGAATGTGCTTCCCCCTCTTTCCTGCCCACCTCACCTTGAGTTTAATAAATATGGTTGTACTCTTATTATGAAATGTCTGTAACTGCTGTACACTGCTGTAAAATTGTTAGAGAAAAATAATCTGCATGTGTGCTCCCCAGTTATTGTAATCTTATCTCAGTCTGTGGGGGGGAAACATTGTAAGAGGTAAACGTACAGAAACACAAAAAGCCTTTTTTTCCCTACCACTTCTCATGTGCTGCATCTTTAGCATTTATTTCTCATCAGTTCAGCCTAAGGACCAAAAACCTGCTGGCTTGAGATCATGTGCATTTGTGGTTCATGTGGCATTTAGTTGCTCCGAGACAACCTTATAGTGTGTCATTGTGCAAGTTCTTCCCATTTTCATAAAATGGCTCAGCACCTCTGCATGGCCCTGGACCTCTGGAGAGTATTTTCCAGGCAGTTTTAGGTGGAGGTGACTGGGCAAGGCCAGAGTGTGCTGATGGATTTTGTATAGTTTTAGAACAACAGAGCAACTCGTGTTGATGCCATGTGGAATGGGTCTGGGACTAGGTTTCTTTTTGCCCTTCCACTTGGACTTTGGTCAACTCAGTAGTAGTTGGAGTCACAGGAGTTCTCAGGTTCAAGAGTTCTTAACTTGAGGAGTTCTCAGGTTGTAGCTCATAGTCCTACCCACTCAGAAGGGATCGTGAGCCAGGACTTTTTATGTAAAGGCTATAATAAATACTTGACAGCCCCAAAGTACTGCAACACTATAGAAAGTGATGGGAAGAATTTTCTTTCTACTCTTTTTGGAAAGTTACTTAGGAACTTAAATGAATAAGAGGTACCCTTGCCTTACTCCATTTTCTCAGCTTCATTTCCTTTTCAATTTAATAGCTTTTTGTGTAGTCGGAAAGTCACTCTCCATCACCATCTTTTGCCCTCGTAGAAGGTGGTGCACTGCTGGACCCCTCCAAAGGACCTCTTTCAGTACTGGAAGCTGCAACACCCTGCTCTTCTCTTTTGTTGCTGCTGTGTTAAGTGGAGAGATCTTTATTCCACAAAGGATTTTTTTTTTTAAGAAAAACCTCTAAACAAATTACTAATGAAATTGTGTGTGCGTGTCTGTGCGTGCAACATAAAAATACAGTAGCGCCCAAGGAGCTTGAATCTTGGTTCCTGTAAACTGCAAATTGATGTGGTTAATTTAAAAATAAAAAACACAATGACTGTGGTGTCATTCTCCTAACTTTATTCTTTATACATATTTCAGGTAAAGTAAGACTTGAACAAGGCTTCCACTCTCCCCATCCTCTTCACTTCAGGGGCTTTAAAAAGCAATTTATATGGATTCTCAAGATTGCAGGATTTCCATAGTATAGAGCACAGCTGTGCAGTTTGGTTTCTGATGGAAAATAGATGACCTCTAAGAGGCAAACTCAGAATGCTAAGGATGGAGGGAGTCAGAGGGTCTGGTTCAGCTTCACACAGCTTGGGGAGGGTTCCTGGCTTGCAGTGTGACGCACCCTGTGAACCACAAGCAGCCACAAAGCACTAAAACAGTCAAGTCACCACACAGCACATTTTTGCTTCAAGACTCCTTGCAGTTCTTCCCCAAAACTTAGGCTGCTGTGACTCAAGCTGGATTTTAAAAATTTATTCAACATACCTTAGAAAATTTAGGTTGAAAAAAATTTTAAATGATGCAAACAACTTCACAAGTACACATACAAATGTTCAAATAATGTCACTAAAATGGTAGGTATATAAATATGTATTCAGAGTAACATTTACATATTGGCCATAATAGCAAGCATACCATTTAAAAAAAAAAAAAAATTCATGAAACTTCACCTGTTCGTATCAAAATCCCAACATGAGGAGGCACACCTAGAAATGAGGACCAACTAACCCCAGGCCACAGTCATGGCCTAAGCTGCACCAGGCCTTGCTAGCTCACCACCCAGCCCAGGTTGGCCCAAGAATGTATACCTCTACCGAGTTCCTAGGTTTCACCCCTGGAGGCCACACTTTGAAACCCACTGTAGTGGCTGTCTTGATGAAGGCAGACATCCACTCAAACCTGCACCCTTCAGCAATGAGCTTGGGTCAGTAGAATCAGTTCTCCCAGGTTGCTGGTTTTTTTATTTTTGGTACTGGGAATTGAGTTCAGGGCCTCCCATTTGCCAGGCAGGTGCTGTGCCACATAGCTACATCCCCAGGCCCTGCTTGTTCTTGAAACACTGTATAAAAATACTCATTTTAGGTTTGAAAGCAACATGTGAAGGAAAGTAAAAGAATGGTAGTGCCCTGCCTGGTGCCATCCTGAGTTTCTGTTGTAAATTTAATACTGTCAGGAAAAAAACCAGGAACTCCAGACTCGCTGGGAATTCACTTTCCAACCAGTTCCTGGGGGGCTCACGCCAAGGAACAAAGCCAGAGGCTTACCCTGCAGGGTAGGCTTTGGCTGGAGAATGCTGGCCCATCTCAGCTGAGGCCCACAGTGAGGAGAGCTCCCCTACAGAGCTCAGCAGTCCTTGCCACCACAACTGCAAGAGTCACAAGGGCACGGCGTGCAGTGCCTAACACATGGCATCCCTTGGCGGGCCTAACAGGTGAGGACATTGTACCAACACTCGAGACAGGAGGCAGTATGGTATGGTGCAAAAAGCACAGAACTGGAAGTTTAAAAAAATTATTCTAGCTCTTGTAATATTCCTGTCTGTATGGCAATTTCTGTTTCTGGGCTTTGGAATTCGTCCCTTAACAGGGGAGGGTGGTACTAGGGATTTCCAGGGTTCTGCCTAACTCTTGACAATCTTGAATTGTATAAAAATGCTATAAAACCTATAGTATAAAATGCAACTCCCAATCTGGAAGTCAAGGGAACTGAGCCTGAGGCACTTGAACCTTGGGCTCTAGCCTGGGGCCAAGTGACCTGAGACAAGGGATGTACTACCGTTTTTTCCCTGTGCCTCTGCAGCCAGAAGGCCGCTCCCCCTCTAGAGTCCAGCCCCTGGCCTCCCTATCCTGACTTGTAAGACAGGGCTCTGTCCCCACAAAGACTTCCTAACACGGGCCGAGAGGCGAGAGGCGGCTCCAGAGTATGGGGTATTTTAGTGTCCTTCCACCCCTGCTCCTTCCTCTTAACTCCTCCACGTAGGTCCTTCCTCCAACTCCTCACAGCTTATCTCTGATAGACGCATAATAAATAAGACATTTGCACGTTAAGGGTGATGGGGTCAGTTCTCTCCCGCCCCCTTCATATAAAAGCATTAAATACAATTTTAAAATAAAATACAAAGAGCAAAAAGGGCCTGATCTCGGGGCCTCCTGTTCTCCACGGGAGAATGAATCTACACATCCCTCTCGGTCCTGCCTGGGAGGTCGCGGGGCCCCTTCCCCGCCCCACAGGGCCCCGGCGCGTCTGCAGAGAAGAGAAAGGGAGGCCAAGGCCCGGCCCCACGCCCTGGTTGCTGGGAACCGGTGGCTCGTCCATAGAGCACAAAGGGGTAGAGGGAGGGGCGGGAATACAGGCCAACCCCGGGACAGCCTGTGCCCCGACTGGACGGACGAGAGCGCCAGATTCAGTTTAAGGGAAAACAGAGTCCCTCGGGGCAAGAAATAAAAAAGTGCTAATCCCTTTACCCGGTCCGGTCCGGTCCGGTCCCGGGTCCCCGTCCCCGGGCGGGCAGGGCAGCAACACGAGGGGCGGAGCCGCGGGGCGGGCGCAGCTGGCCAGGCCCCGCCCCAGCTGAGTCCCCAGAGTGTGGTCTGGGCCTCTGAGAGGCCGAGGATACGAGTGAAGGCAGGGCAGCGGCGGCCCCGAGCCAGGCGCCACGCCTGCTGGCGGGCAAGGCCACGGAGACCTGGGCTCCCGGCCAGGACGAGGAGCCGGCGCGTCCTTCCTGCTCTTCCCTGTCCCCTTTTTGGCCCTAATACTGACAGCGCCCCCTTCCCGTCCCGGTGGTGGAGCGCCTGTGGGTGCGGTCGGGGCTGGAAGCGCTCGGCGCTAGCACTTAGGAAGCCGCTGGGGCTCAGGCTGGTGGGAAACCACGAGGCCCTGCAAGGGAAGGGCCGGGATTCCGCGCCGAGGGCGCCCCCCAAAGGCCACCTCCCAACTCGGAGGCCCAAGTAGCATGAACCCCGGGCCCCAAGATCTGCCCGGCCCGGCCAGCGGGGGGGCGCGGCAGCGGCGACGGGCGCCGGAAGCACCAGCACGACAGCGCCCCGCCCCGCTTGTCCTGCCAGCCCGGCCCGGAGAGTCGATTAAGCCCGGCACACGGCGCCCGGCTTGAGGTCCGCGCCGCCGTCTCGCGGCGCCGGAGCAGGCGGGCCAAAACCCTCGTGGCCATAGCAGCGCAGCGCCGCCTCTTCGTAAGCCTCTAGGATGGTCTGGCGTTCCTCGGGCGTGAAGTCCATGGAGAAAGGATGCACCTGCAGGATGTGCCGCTTGATGGTGCTCACCTTGAGCGTGGCCAGCGCGCCCCCGCACACCATGCACACCAGGCCGCGCCGGCTGCCGTCGTAGTCCATCAGGTACTCGCCTCGCCAGCGCGGCTGGTAGTTCCGCCGCTGCTCCCGGCTGCGGGGAGGAGGCGGGGGCGGGGGTGGGGGCGGCAGCGGCGGGAAGGCCAGCCCCACCGGCTCCTGGCCGTCCTCTTCCTCGTCCTCCTCTTCAGCGGGCCTCTCCAGCGATGCTCCAGGGGACAGCAGGACGTCGCCTGAGGGGGACAAAGAGCTGCACTGAAGCCAGGCAAGGCAGCACCAGGCCCACGCCTCATCTCTGGGGTGCCCTCCCTCCCCCAACCGAGCACCCGCCGGCTCACCCCACCACGCCTCCTCCGGCTCCTCCGCCCCTTCCCCCGCCTCGGAGCCAGGGGCGCCCTTCTCGCTCCACTCCTGGAAAGGCCTGCCGAGGCGCGAGGTGCCCGGGTGACGCCGGCGGACGTGCCGCTCGACGGCACTAGTCTCGAGCGAGGCCAGCGCGCCCCCGCACACCATGCACACCAGGCCGCGCCGGCCGCCGTCCAGCTCCAGCAGGTATTCCAGCCGCCACCGCTCCCGGCCCCGGGATGGACTGCCAGGGCCCCCCGTCCCCGCCCCCGCCCCCTCCTCCGACTCCTCCTCTGCAGGCCCGGGCCTCTCAGGGACCCAGCCAGCCTCTTCCTTTACGTCTGGGCGGCTGAAATCCCCAGAGGGGGCTCCAGCAGCAGGGGGCAAGTCCCGGCTCTTTCTGGTCAGGTCCTGGGGGACGAGGTCATCGTCTGTTGGGGAAGGGGTGAGGGAGAGGAACTCAGCCTGCTGGCTGTGTTGCCCTTACCCACGTAGAGGGGGGTCCATCCTTGTTCCTCACCCCAGCCCCAAGCTAGAGGCCCCAGCCAGTGTGTGTGTGTAAGGAAGCGCCCACGGGTGGCCTTGAGTGTAAGGAAGCGTAAGGGTCAGTAGGCCTTCAGCTCTGGATCAGGAGTCCCTGCCTCCCAGTTTTTGCCCTAGACCCTGTGTTGCTGCCCTGATGTGGGAGTCTCAGCCCTGGGACAGCCTCGCACCTGCTGGGGGCCTGGTGAGCTCAGACAGCGCCTCCGGCTCGCCACCCCAGGCCTGCAGCAGAGCACTGCGCTGCGAGCCGCTGAGCCCCAGGGAGCTGGGGTGCACCTCCAGCACGTGGGCACGGATGTCATCCAGGTGCAGGCTGGGCAGTGCGCGGCCACAAGCCATGCACACCAGCCGGTTCCCCCGCGGGTCATAGTCCATGAGACACTCAGCCCGGAACCAGGTCTGCAGGGACTCCTTCAGCCTCCGCTCCAGGCGCCGGGCCCCCAGCCCCCTGCTGCCCCCGGCCCTTCGGGAGGCAGAGAGTCGTCGCCGGCGTCGGGAAGCCACTGGGCCCCCTCGACGCAGGCGCCGGCAGCCCCCACCAGCTGAGGCTTTGCCTGAAAGGGTTGGAGGGAAGCAACTAAGAGGCTGGTCCTGGTGGGAGCGGCCACAACCTCTCACTCAATGGCTCCAAATGAGATCCCGTATCTAACCTTTGCCCTGTCTTCCTCTCCCTTCACATCTTCACTCCACCCACTAATCCTCTGGCAGGCCTACCCTAAGCCACACCCAACCTCCCCAGACCCAGATTCTGGCCCTTCCCTGGACGACAGGGACTGCAAGCCTGTTCTCCCACTGACCCCAGCTGTTTCCTTCTGATCCCCAACCTCTAGTCTCTCCCATTTGTATAAAACCACAGAATGTGAAAGACATCAGGGACACTGGAGATCCCCCATCCACCTCACCCCACTCTACAGGGCAGTAAAAAGACCCCACCCAAAGAATCAGCAACTTGCTGCAGAAAATCAAATAGGCAGAGGAGCTGCCTACTTTAGCTATCCTGCATTACCTGGGCCCTTGGGTGGGCAAGCTTGGAGACTGGCCCCCTCTTCCTCCTCCTCTTCTTCTTCCTCCTCCTCCTCCTCAGGCCCCTGGACCCCCAGGCCCTCGGCCTCGCCACAGGCCCCCAGCCCCAGGTGGGCATCCCAGCTGTTGCTGATGACTTCTTTCTCCCGGGGACTCCAATGCAGGGAGTAGGGGTGCTTCTGGCGAATGTGCCGCTTGATGGTGCTGAGCTTGAGGGTGGCCAAGGAGCTGCCACACACCATGCACACCATGCCATGCCGGGCAGCATTGAAGTCCATCAGGTACTCCAGCCGCCAGTGGTCGTGGTAGTAGCGTCGGTGGTCACGGCCAGGGATGCGGCTCTTTCCAGGCCTGGAGGCCCGGGCCTCACAATGGTCTGAGTATTTCCTGCCTGAAGATGCTGGTCCCCTGGCCCTGGAGGAGGGTAGGGGGGTACTCCCCCAGGACCCCAAGGCACCCCCTTCCAGCTGAAGATCTTGTCCTGAAGAAGGGGAAAGGGAGACAGCTCTTCAATCTCTTGATTTCCAGGCAAAAAAACCAAGGGCTTTGATATGGAAGGCTAAGAAAGGGAGGTGGGGGAGGGGGTATTCAGGGCAGGGAAGGGATGGCAACAGTAATAAAAGGGATGTGGGAGAAGCAGGGAGTAAAAACACTTTACAAACAGAGAAGATCAAAAACAAAATGATTCAGGCCATTGTGCAAAAGCTGTGACTTTTTAAAAATAAGATGAGGGCTAAGGAGGCAGCCAGCTTGTTAAGGTGCCCTTTCTGAACAAGCTGTAGGGATAAAACCAGGAGAGCAGTAGTCTAGGGCAGTCACAATCAGTTCAGAGCAGGCAGTGGGGTGAAAGGAACAAAGGGGGCATCTGTCTGCATTCTGCCAGAAAGGCCCCACCCAAAGGTCTCCCTTTTTCCAAAAATGCCTCAAATACAGCCTCCTGAGAATCCCATTTCAGGGAAGGGCTCTGCACTGTCAGTTCCCCAAACAGGGATCCCCAAGACAAAGCTGTCATCGCCTCCAAGGAAAACAGTTGCTAAGACTGGATTTTCTATAGTCTAAGACAGCCAGTGACCCTGAGAAGGGATGGCAGGAGGGCCACCAGAGTGGCCACTGAAGCTACTGCAGCAGGGAATGGCCACCACCCACTACAGCCAGTTAAGTCTTTCTGGGGATTTATTTTTTGTTCTGGCAAGAGGCCAGCCACTGCCCAGCCATCACAAGGGCGTGTACTGAAGGGGCCCTGCAAACCCAGGGACGTTCCTTTTGTCAAAGAGATACCCAGAGCAGTCCGGCACTCTCTTTTATTTAAAAAATGCTCTTCTGGCCAAACAGAGTAGATGGGTAACTTCTTTCTGATTTACTCCCCCAGTGTAGAACCCCAGGGTCAGGCAAACAAAAGACAGGATCAGAGAGGGCTCCTGTCACATCGTGGATGATTTTTTTGTTTTAGTTTTCATTTTTTAAAGACGACCCATGGGAGATTAAAAAAAAAAAAGTCCTAGCTTTTTTTTGAGTCCTAGCTTCACCGGAAACTTGCTCTGTGGCTATTCAAAGGTCACTCTGCTCTCTGGGCCTAAGTGGCTTTGTGTGTGAGGGCACTGGATTCTAGCTGGTCTCTAAGCATCCTTCCAGCGCTGGAGCCATGCTAGTCTAAGGCAAACTAGCCCTTTAAGACGCAAAAAAAAAAAAAAGGAGGAGGAGCTGAGATTCTTTAAAAACAAAAGGGGATGGGGAGTTTCTGGGAGGAGAGCTCAGAGACTGGGGCAGTCTCCCAAGCCCAGACGCAACCTTCGCGGGTCTTAGGGCCTGGACCCTCCCGCAGAAGGATGAAGAAACAGTCTCCTTTTACGAGCCGATGGGGGCTGGCTGGTCCCCTTACAACTGACAAATTAGGGCCAAAATAAATTCTGAAAAGGAAGAGACACCGCGCGGGCAGGAAGGGGTGTCAGCCTTTGTGGGCGAAGCCAGCCCTTATTTAAAACCTGCCCGCGGTGGGGGAAGCGATGGAAGCCAGGGGCGTGAGCCACTCGCACCAGGGGAGACCGCGGGGGAAGAGTTCCCGGCCCCACTGAGCCCACAGAACGAGAGGGGCCGCGCACGCTAAACTGCGGGGTCCGGAGACCGCCCCCTGGGGAAACGCCCCCGAGGGCACACAGGGTGTGGGCGGCCTTTAAGAGACCGGATAAGAAAGACCACCTGGGCGTCTGAAAGAGATGGGGGCGGGAGTGGGGACAGACCGCAGTGCTGGCCCGGAGGGGCCCCTCTGGCCGGGCTCCAAAGCGGGGCGCCTCGGGGCCCCTTCAAGGGGAGGGGACCTGCCAGAGCCCCGCGGCCCGGCCAACCCCGGGAGCGGAGCGGGAGGGTCCCCCGCCAGCCCTGCAGGCGCGATCCGCGCCCACCAGGTGGCGCCCCGGCCGCCCTGCCCGCGTCCCCCGCTTTGTTCGGCGGCAGAGAGGGGCCCGGAGCCTAGAGCCGCAGCCCTCCCCTCCCCCACGCGGCCCCCCGCCCGCCAGAC